CTGCTAGTGAAGGCCCCAGGAAGAGCAGTCTGGCAGGGGAGTCGAGCAGGGCACCCCGATGGTGCACTCTACATTTGTGTGAAAGGGCGTGTCCTGAAGTACCCCCGCAAAGAGGGAACAGCCCAGGTGTCTGGCTGGAGGACTGTTGTCAGTTTGTCCTTCCCATATGGCCCTGTCCTCTGTATGCATGCGGTGGGTCTCAGAGCATCCAGGCCAGTATTTCCTGTTCATTCTCACTACTTAATGACGTGGGTTTCTTGGAGCCAAGGCCCGCAGCCTGGATTCGCTGTCAGTCAGCGGCTGGTCGTCCTGGGGTTATGCGGGAGGGAGGCCCTGTTCTGGGAGCGCTGCTCTTGCCGCTCCATGGCTACCTTTGGGCAGTGCCTGACCTCGGCCGTGGTCTTTGTGTGATGTGTTCCTGCCTCTGCGTCATCTCTCCTGATGAAGATGCCGGTCACAGTGGATATCGTGAGTCATCCTGGGACCTCATTTCTCCTTAGTTACACCCTGCAGGCCCACTGAGATCACTTCACAGGCTCTGGGGCTTCCGAGTTGTTTGTGACAGGGGTGGGGCAGAGGCAGGGGTTCAGGATTTAACCTATCCTGAAAGTTCAGGGCGTTGTCCTCTGTCACTGGTGTCCTTCTGAGGCTGTGGTTTTCAATGGTGTGGAGCCGGGACGGGGTCCTTTTAATATTGAAATCTTATCTTGGAGCCCTGTCAACCTTCAAAAGCAGGATAGAGTGGGGGACTGGCACCCAGTCTTCAGAGAAGCTGAGGGGGTCAAGGCAAGGCTGATGTGTGTGTGTGTGTGTGTGTGTGTGTGTGTTGACTTTGTGTAGAGAAAGTTACAGTTTGACTAAGGCCTTGTAGGAGGAAGAGGAGTGGGGAGCATGTTGTAGATGGAGGCTCTAGTCTGGGGGACACTGTGACTTCAGCCATCGAGGCCACACAGAGGGCATCGTTCAGGGCCACCTGCACCTTGCTGTGTCCTGCATTGACTCCAGTAAGACTCACGATAGCCATCATCATTTTCCTCATTTCTCCGGGGGAGCGGGGATTGAAGCCCAAAGAGGACAACACCTGCCCTGGCACACACAGCTAAGGAGTGGCAGAGACAGGATTCTGTCAGACAGGCTGCGGCCAGGGTGGCCTGAGAGCACTCCAGCCCCAGACTCTGAGGCTGAGGAGCATCCGGTCCCAGAAAGTTGTGGAGGGTACGTAGCTATCAGGAACTAAATAGTTGATTTTCTTTTGCTTTGTTTAAAATTGTGTTGCACATCTCCCTTTAGCTCTGCTCAAATTTTGTGCACCCTGACTTCCACCATTGCTTGGAATGGACCCCAGAAGCCACTCTGTGGAGTTAAACAGAGGGACATAACCTCTGTGGTTGGAAAGTGGGAGCAAGGGCAGCATCTCTGGCAGGCACGGGACTGACTCCAGGTGTCACCTCCTGGGAGCTGCCACCCCTGCCCTCTGGGGTGCTGGGGCAGAGCCACAGCAGCGGAGTCCTCTGCGTCTTCTGGCCCAGACAGCAAAGGGGTGCCGTGTCCTGCCGTGTGGCTCCCAGGGGGCTGGGGATCTGGCTGTGAGAACGAATGATCGCAGGGACTGAGGGAACGGTGGCACCTTCATCCCTTTCAGAACCCAAACCCCAGGGGAGTCTGGGGACTGTGTCGGGGGCTCCCCAACCTCAGGTTCAGGCAGCACTCTTGTGCCAGCCGCCTCCTAGGTGTGAGGCCTTTCGGGACCTGTGTCTGATGTGATGCAGGCAGCACCCAGTGAGTTTCCCGAACCCCGGTGCAGGAGGAGGCAGCCACACCGCGCTGCCCTCCTCCTGGCTGTGGCTCCCTCTGCTGCTCTACCCCTGCCTGGTGGACCACTGCCTGCATAGTGTGAAGAAGCAGGGGCTTGCGCAGCATGGGCCCTGCCAGGTAGAGGCCTGCAGGAGGTGGGTCCAGGTGGAACCATGGTTCTTCCTGTTTCCTCTGGGAGCCGCAGTTTCCTCTCCTGTAAAATGGGCTTGTTGGCCAAATTCCATGAGCTCCTCACTGAGATTCAATTCAGAGGTGTGGCGTGTGATGAGTGACATCCTCAGTTGCTGCTCTTTTGACTTCTGAGTGGCTCCAGACCTTTCTGTGTCATCAAGATCTGCTGCCTGGTGGGCTGTGGCAGGAGGAGTGGAGTGGAGTGTACGCAGTGTTTATTTATTTATTCATTCTCTTAATTCTGGGCGAGCCCTTTCCTGCAACTCTAGATTCTTTAATGTGGGTCGTGGTTGCTGTTTGCCTCACATACAAACTGGAGAAATGGGGCCTGGAGAGCAGTAAGCAGATGGCCCTTGCTGACCCTGCTGACCGGCACGTCTACCAGCCCCAGTCATGGTTTCCTGCCCTCCGTGCTGTTCCCACAGGAAGCTGTTGTCACTAGGGTGTGAAAGAGAATTTACTCACGGTCATGTGGGTTTGAACAGGTGCCTCGGGGCTGTGCCGAGATGCCAGGCTCCCTGGACCTGGTGTGAGGCTCCTTGGTTTCTTAATTCCCCAGGACCAGTCAAGGTCCCAAGGGCCCATTTGAAACTGGAAGGTCTCTTATGAGAGCCGGCCATTCTGCTGGGCTTGCAGCCTGGGCTTTAGGAGGTTTAGGTCTGTGGTGCCTGACACAGCGACAGCAGCGCTGGACTGCTTCAGTCTGCCGTGTGCTGTGTTGGGCAGCCGCAATGGCTTTGTTTTGTCTGGGCTTGGGAGGTGACCATCCCCAGGGCAGGGTGGGGCCCCAGGTAGCCTCCGCTTGTGTGTCCTGCAGCAGCAGGATGTGCTCCCTCAAAGTCTGTGGTTTTGGTGTCAGCAGCATTGCTTTCTGTCTCCTGGGCTTGCAGATGCCTCTTCTCCCTCTGAGCATGTCCGTGGGCCGATGGCCCTTTACAAGGGTGCCAATCAGACTGAATGAAGTTTACATGGCTGGCCCTTTGGGTCTTTGCTACCTCTGCACAGGTTCCGTCTCCAAACACAGTCACGTTCTGAGATCCCGTGGTTGGGACTCAGCATGTGGATTCAGCAGGGACAGAGTGCAGTCCCTGACCCCCAGCTTGACAGTAGGAGGGGAGTGGCCCTGAGAAGATGAAAAACTCCTGTTCCAGCCACATGGCCTGTCAGTCTTGTGTGCACCTGTCTGGCTGGCTGGTCCTGCAGGGCCAGCTCACGTGCTGTCCTCTGCATGTCCTTCCCAGCCGGAAGGCACTTCTGTGGCCCGTTGCCCCCAGGACCATTTTTTTGAGCCCCTTGGGTGGACAGGGGTGTGCACTCGCCAGGCACCGGACTCTTAGGGCAGTGTGGAGCTGGGGTGGGGGAAGGGGCAGTGAAAGCAGCCGTGGTCGGCACAGAGCATCTGTCTGACATCTGATGGGGGAGACAGGTAGTACCAACACAGGAAAATTTTACAGGGCCGTGAAAAAGGGAAGCGCAGGACCTAGGGTGTGCAGGGGAGACCCCGCCCTGCCTGGGTTGGGAAGCAGCGCCCGCCAGTGCCCTGGGAGGCCATGTCCGAGTGGAAGTTTAAAGAAGATGGGTAGTGGAAGGAGGAGGAAGCGGGCTGGGGGGAGTATTCGCCGGGCCTGGTGAGTCCCAGCTGCGGTGACAACCCTGAAAGGTAGGTTCTGCTTCACGTGGACCCTGGCACAGGCTGCTCGCTGGGCCTCATCTCCAGCAGGTGGGACAAGGGCCCTGCCCTCTCCGTTTGGTTCCTCAAGGTCTCTGCAGTTAGGAAGAGAGGAAGTCACATCTCCCCCCCCGGAAATGCTGAGCAGCCGATGACCTGGCTGCCAGCCGTGGGTATTGTGCTGTTTCCTACCAGGGGGGCTGTGAGCCCAAATCAAAATGCCTGAGGGGATGGCCTTGGAGGAGCAGGGTGGCTCTGCTCTCCACAACCCCGACCTTTGTGGGGCTGCTAATGCGGTGCTGAGCAGCAGTGCCGCGGCCCCTTGAGCTTGCCTGGGCCCAGCACCTTGGGCAGCCCCTGCCCGTGTCCCCGGAGGCCCCTCCTGGCATGCGCTGGGATGTAGTATTGGGGCCTGGGCTTGGTGGCAGCGCATGCAGCTGGTTTATCCATCCTGGAGACACTGAGCTCAGGGCTGAGCCCAGAGCGGGTGGACAGAAGTCAGAGTGCCACTCCCTGGGCGACAGCGTCGGGCCTGCAGCCTCCACACAGGTGGTTGGTCGTTCCTCTCCAGCTCTTCCTGTATCCTTCCCCGCTAAATGCAGGTGCTGTTCTGAAATTTGCATGCCTTCCTTTGAGGAAAACAAAATAAAACAAAACACTGCATTGCTTTCTTTCAAAAGCAGTAAGAGAAATGTCTAATTAGGTTTATCTGGAAGAGGATAAAGAAGAAAATGAGTCACCTAGAACTTCTGGTTAACCTTTTATATCCCCAGGGGACAGAGCCTGGCTCTGAGCTGGTGCTCAGTGAATATCTGTGACTTAGTAAAAAGAATAAGAAATATGTGATACAGAAAGCTGAGCTCATAAATGATATTTGGCCTTGTACTCTGCCCTTCTCACTCTTGATGTTAGCCCGTCCCCAGGTGGAGTTTGTCCTGAGGCGTTGGTGTAATTTCATAATCTGTCCCCAGGGCTGAGCTGGGACAGACACCTGGGGTTGTCAGAGACCTCGTCCCGCCTAGCTCAGTGCCTAGAAGTGGCCACGGTGGGGATAGAAACTCCCACCTTCAGCACTTCCTGCTCCTGTGGGTGGGGAGCCGGTCTCTGAGAACTGCTGTGGGTAGAGAGGAGCCAGGGAGTGAATCACGCATTCAGCTCTAATAAGGCAAATCAGAGCAAATGGAGCTCCTGCTCATCTGCAGAGAATGTGCCTCTCTGCGCTCGATTGATGGGTCGATCGGCAGCAGCACTGGTGACCCTGGATAATCCTCCTGCGGGGGTGGAAGCTCTGCACTCGGCTTGAGAGGAGTGGAACTAACTTCTTGTTTGTGGTCCTCCGTGCCAGTTTCTCTCCAGTACCCCAAGGCTGACATCCTTCCCTGCTGCACTGGAACAGCCTTTTGTCCTCCGCATCCTTTTCAGGTGACTAAGTCCCGGTGCCACCCTTCTGAGCTATTTGGCTTTAGGTAGCTCTCTCGGCTGCTCTGGGTCTAGTGAGTAGATGATCTCTTGAGCAGTGCCCAGGGATAACAGGGTGGTGCAGAGGAGTTGGCACATAGCAGATGCCTCATGACTGTCCCCTGTTGGCCCTCAGCCATCCATTGCTCATCTGACAGATCTTTCTGGGGTGTGTTATACAGGTTGGACATGGCGTTAGGCACAGAGATACAGTGCGGATCCAGATGGACCCAGGTCTTGTATACCTGGAGCTTGGATCCCGGGGGAGAGGAAACAGGAAATCAGTGAGCCTGCAGTCTGTCATGGGGAGCAGCAACAAGGTGTGGTGATGGGGGGGGAGGGAAGGGGAGAGGGGGGGCACAGGGAGGTGCAGACTGGCTGGGCCCGCTCAGGATGCGGAGCACGACGGGGTG